GAAGAGCTGGAACACCGGCCCATCAGCGGCACACACTGACCCTACGAACCGAAAGGCAAGAAGCTGAGCCATGGCCTGCTCCATGTGGAACAGCAGGGGGCGATTCATTTACAGTGAAAAGAAAAACTAAAACAACTCCATAATTAAAACCTAATCAAAATTAAGTAATTAAACATCTAAACTCCTCTCTTTTGACGTGAAATATCCAGTCCACCCACTGTTCTTCCTAAAGGCGCATGAGCACGAACATGTGAGAAGCTGAAATCTGTGGCAAACCCACAAGTTGCTCTTAAGCCGGGGGACCTGGCCAGATTCAGCAAAGACCACCTTGGACAGTCAGTTAGACCACAAGACTGCACAATAGAGCCAATTTTTCTTTAATTACATTGATCTAAAAGCCAGTCAGCAGTGTGAATAACAGAATTTGGACAAACATGTTTATATGAAGCTCTCGCAGATTACCTCTCTTTTCATAGCAGGCTTCCCGACCCCAGACCAGCGCCACAGGATCATTTAGCATCACTTATGGCACGCAAAGAGACTCACACTGGAGCATGTTGAGCTTCAGCAGAACTTGCCACGTTCAAAGAGGGCAATGAAATGGTATTTCTCCATCCTGCTCTCGGCAGGTTTCAGAAAAAGTCCTGAGCCGGACGACAGGCGATTACGCAGGAATCCCCATGCCCTGTCAGAGCACTGCGGGGTACAGTCCCCTAGAGAAGACTGAGGGCCAGTCCCATGGTCATTACTTTTGAGCCACACACTGCAAAACTGTGCAGTTCCTGCAAAACCACAACAGTCTATCACTAAAATGCCTGTGCTGTGATTGCCTGCACTACAAGTGTCCTGTGAACAAGGTCGATGTTTTTGGTCCTCTTTGTAAACAGAAAAGGGGGACATGAAAGTTACTGACACAGCTGCTCCCTCTTCAGAAAATGATGTCCAATATTTAAAAAAAAAAAAAAAGCACACCCACCCCACCCCCCCAAATCACAGCCAAAATATTCTCTTGTGAATACTCAGGATTGCATTTAACCTCAATGTAACACCAGTGAAATTAGTGAAATCAACATGAAGGAATAAATATATAGACTAGAACAGAACAGAATAGAACAGAATAGAATAGAATTTCAATTGGAAGGGACCTACAACGATCCTCTTCACGGCTGATCAAAAGTTCAAGCATGTTATTAAGGGCATTGTCCAACTGCCTGTTAAGCACTGACAGGCTTGGGGCATCAACCGCCTCCCTAGGAAGCCTGCCCTGACCACCCTCTCGGTAAAGACATGCTTCCTAATGTCCAGTCTAAACCTCCCCTGGTTTGAGCCATTCCCAGGAGTCCTGGCACTGGATCCCAAGGAGAAGAGCTCAGCACCTTCCTCTCCACGTCCCCTTCTCAGGGAGCTGTAGGGAGCAATGAGGTTGCCCTCGGCCTCCTCTTCTCCAAACCAGACAAGCCCAAAGTCCCTACCCGCTCCTCACAGGACAGGCCTTCCAGCCCTGCCACCAGCTTTGTTGCCCTCTGGAGGCATCCAAGGACCTTCACCTCCTTCTGAAATGGTGGGGCCCAGAACTGTACACAGTGCTCAAGGTGAGGCCACACCAGCACTGAATACAGCGGGATGATCACCTCTCCTGACTGGCTGGTGGTGAAGCTGTGTTTGGTGCACCCCAGGATGCGGTTTGCCCTCTGGGCTGCCAGAGCACGCTGCTGGCATTGAGCCTGATCTCAACCAGCACCCCAGGTCTCTTTCTGCAGGGCTGCTCTCCAGCCGTTCCTCTCCCGGTTTATACTTGTGCATGATGTTACCCCATCCCAGGTACAGAATCTGGCATTTGGACTTGTTAAATTTCATCCCACTGATGATTGCCCAATGCTCCAATCTATCTAGATCCCTCTGCAAGGCCTCTCGTCCCTCAAGAGAGCCAACAGCACCTCCCAGTTTGGTGTCATCAGCAAACTTGCTAATGGTGCATTCAACTCGTGCATCCTGATCATTGATAAATATATTGAACAGAACCGAGGAACATTGAGCCCCGAGGAACACGGCTGGTGACCGGTTGCCAGCCAGATGTAGCCCCATTCACTACAACTCTCTGAGCTCTGCCCTTCAGCCAGTTCTTCACCCAGCACACCATGAACTCACTCATCCCACAGTTGGGCAATTTGTTCTGCAGTATGCTGCGAGGGACAGCATCAAAAGCCTTACTAAAATCCAGAAAAAATTACATCTACCACCTTCCCTTCATTCACTAGGAGGGTGGCCTTATCACAGAAGGATATCAAATTAGTTAAACAGGACTTTCCCTTTGTGAACCCATGTTGACTGTCCCTGATGATTGCATTATTCTTTAAATGCCTTTTCAGTAGTACCCAGTGTAACATTCTCCGTAATTTTTCCAGGAACTGAGGTTAGACTAACAGGTCTGTCGTTCCCCGGGTTCTTCCCTCACACCCTTTTTGTAGATTGGAATAACACTGGCTGGGTTGCATCCATCGGGGACCTCCCCAGACTCCCAAGACCCTTGGTAGATGATCGAGAGGGGTCCTGCCATAGCACCTGCTAGCTCCTTCAGTGCTCCAGGATGAATCCCATCAGGCCCCACGGACTTGTGAACATTCAACTCTTGCAACTGGTCCGTACAAGTTTACAGGCTCGCTCCAGTTTTCAAAGACATCATTTTGCCAGCAGAGAAAACTAATGTGGCACGGCATGAATGCCTGGAATGATGAGCATGACTAACATCTTTATATAAAGTCCTGGAGCCAGGGCTTAATTTTTCACTACTTTGTCTTGAAAGCCAAATACACCGTTGCACGCACAATGCCATTTAAAAAGAGCAAGAATGGCTGTTTTGCTTCCCTCCTAAAGGTCTGTAATGCACAGCCCCGCTTTGGGATCTTCTGCTTAGGGAAATCAATTTGATCGGAGGGTCTCACCAGGTAACACCCAGACCCGCAATGCCCTTGGTGGGAGTAGAAGACTGACCATCATTCCTAACCCTCCTGCTCTGCGCAGGCCAGTTGCTGCCATTCGGTTGGTACCCACACTTTGGCAGCCCATTTCACAGTCAAACTCAGAGAAGCTGCCTTTGCTTGGAAGTCAAATAAATATTCAACCTATTATTTTTAAGAAACACAGAGAACCGATGCACCACTTAAATGTAGTGTCCTAAGATAAGCTCCATTGGAATTAAAAAGTGATTCCCAATTTGAATCAGAACCATTCTACTGCCATTCTACCATTCTTTGCAGGAAAACATCAGACCCCAGGTTACAAGAATGGAGACACTGTCAGGATGGACTACAGACATAGCCCAATTCTTTTTTACGCTAAAGCCTTTTTACTCTCCTGGATCAGTGTAAAAGGACTTAGCAAAAACGTGGCCTGGGTTGTCAAGCTATGAAAAAAATCTTTCAAGTTCCTCTTTGTGGATCCCATTCTTGGAGATGGAGGGATATCTTCCTTTCTACCTTTCAAAGAATAAAAGAAATCTCTAAAAAAATCCCAGGGAGCCTGTTCCTCCCCACCCTCCTACTAGCAGCAGCACTGGGGGAGAACCTGTGACAGGTCCCAGGAGCAGCAAGATGATGCACTGATGGGCAACACAAAGTGTTTCAACCTTGCCCTGCCAGAGAAGAGGCCCCGGAGCAGTTTTTGCCACTCCCTGGCTGGTAGGGGGAGGATTGCATACAGAGAAACCTGACCTTACGCTGTTACTTGAAGAATCAAAACCAGAATGGTATTTCCAAGCACATAAAAAAAAAAAGACAAATATTTCTGCCTTGGTTTAGAAACAAAAACCACACTGCAGAGCCACTAAATAAATAAAACTTACCTAGTTCTTCCCTTTCTTTTAAAAGAAACAGGACCAAAATTTGTGAAAATACTGGAGACTCAGCCAGCGCACGCACATTCACTCCGTCTCTCACACCCATACAAACACATCCCCTTTCCTCGTGGTGCTCAAATCACGTCTTCCTGGTATGCAGCCTTTCGGTCTTGACACATTCATGTTCCTCCTTCAGCCACAATCATACGACTTCAGACAAAAGGTGCATTCGAGTGCAAAGTACTGGTATTTACTCAGCCCAGATGGATCCTCTCAGGATGGATCCTCCCAGCAGTGTTAAGTAAAACCCGTGCCCACGGGGATGGATCCCCGCTCGTTTTGCGGGATGCCACAGGCTCAGTCCTCCTCCCATGTGCTGCCTGGTACAACAAAGGGCTGTCACTCACAGAAACCAGAAAGCTGGTGTTTGAGCAAAGGCAAAAAAAAAGGGGGGGGGGAGGTAACTTGCAGCATATGAACAATGAAATGGCAACAAATATGACTGCTGTCTCTGCTGACTACACCAGGAGGAGTCATAAGCTACATTAAAACGCTGATCAAGTTCAGCAGTAACTGAAGCCATTGTTAAAACAGATCCAAATAAAATTCTTCTTAGAAACAGAAAGTCGTGGGTTAAAGAAATTTGAATTTTCTAATCCAGTATTTTTAATTGCTGACCGTGGAAACACATAGTAGTTTTTGCCAGGTAAAGTCAGCCTTATGTCAAGTGCGTGTGACAAGCTTCAAACAGACTGCACAACAAACGTCTTTATCGATTAGCACTGGGTTAACAGAGACTTGCCTTGTGTTGAGGCTCCTGAAGGTATTTTACAAAGGAAAAAGAGGAACCCAAGCCACTCCAAGTTCGTCTGTAGTTTCAGGTAAACGCATCAGAAACAAACCAAAACCTGTAGCATTTGTTTCCTGTCTCCCTTACGGATGCTCTCGCTTCCTTTACATCCACGTATTACTGAGGGTGGCCCTTACCCTGGAACAATCGGACATCAAACTTGGTTGTTGGAAAAATCAACAACCAATATTTGCACAGCTCTCAATGTTGCATCCTTACTGTTTACTAGTAAGTCAGCATTGCTATAGGCACTGGTGCTTTAAAGTTAGTAAGGTGGATGGAAATACAGTGTGTATATAAATACGAAAAGTACCCATATACATACATTTAGGCAAATACAGTGATGCTATGAATGGTCTCTTCAGGGATGCCAGTAAGATCCACTTTCTTCTTCTTAAATATATAAACAACGCATCAGACCAGAAGTCAGTCTATCAGTTTTCATACAGCTGAGCTGCAGTCGTGACCTAGGATATGGCTTATATTGTGGGCAGGTCGGTTTGAGGACTGCTTGGAAGAATCTGAAGCAGATGTGTTTGCAATGGAAAGCAAAGGCGACATTGCTGAACCATCTGGAGGAAGAGCTGTGGCTATTTCTGGAAACAAAGATGTCAAGTTAAAATTGGATAAGTGCGACGTGTTGGTCATGTGCATCGGCGGCATATCTGGAAGCAAAGGAAAACTTGGCTGAGCAAAGCCAACAGGCCTGGGAGGAGACAAAATGGATCCAAATCGATTGTTTAAACTTCCACTACTCGGCTTCTCTGTGCTTGGGTTAGGAAACATTTGATTGGGAAAGTAAGGGATCGAAATGTCGTTGGAAAGGGTAGGATGGGCAGGAGAGTAAGGAGGATAGAAGGACGGCAGGGTGTTCTGAGGATCGACCGGGATTAGAGCTGGTGTTCGAGTGGCACTAGGCTGAGTCACTGGTGGGATAAAAGAGGTATTGGCATTTATCGGTGGATTCATGCTGCCCTCCGGAATAAAAGGGAATCCAAAATTCTGAGAGAGAGTATGTTGGTCAGGGGCCGCGTTATCGTTAGACACTTGAGGGCCATCAGACATAAATCGGACAATGCTTCCTCTTTTTTCTATCGCGGACTGCTGGCGCCCGAGGATCATGCTGCCGCTGGTGGACAGAGGAAGATGGGGAAGACTAGGGTCAAAGACGTTTCCGTGCCTTTGATTTCCAGATCGATTCCTTTCGGGCTGACGTATTTTAGAACCTCCATTATCTTGCAGAGGATGCCTCGACCGCTGAGTAACTGAAGAATTTGGCTGACGAACAGAAGGTTGCCCTTGCTCGCCATTTCCGTGAGAAACTGCAGGGTGAGGGTGAGTTGGCCTCACAACTCCATGCATGTTGCTAGAAACAGGCGTATTCATGTGGCTCTTAGTTCCATGACTGTCCGTCATCCTCATGGGATTGGACTTCTGCACAGAGATATTTGGGCTTGTATTGCGACCCTGAATATCTCCTGAGGAAGAAGAACTCGAAAAAGGAATATTCAAAGAACTGTTCCTTGTGTTAATTGCACCAATAGACATGTCACAGCTCTCCCTACTCTGGCCATCACCATCTCTTCGGATGTGGACGCTCTCCCGTGCTGGGGGACAGTTGTACTCAATGGTGGAGGAGGCGCCACACTGCGTGTTCCTTTGATGTTCTGGAATTGATCTTTGGCTCCCACTAACTTGATCTCCAAGGTGAGGGGCAAGTAAACTCTGCATAAAACTTTGGTGGCACGTGTTTTCATTTTCCCGTGATGGCAAGGCGTTTCCTGTTGGAATACCCTGTACTGGCTGGTAGGGCAATCTCTTCTGTCTTTCTATGGATGGCCCGGTATTTTGACCGATTCGAAAAGCTTGTGACTGCATGCCTCGGAGGGATGACACGGAATTACCAATTTCACTGTTTCTTGAAGCCTGTACATCAAAATTGCCCGTCGGTTGTTGATTGGGTCCAGCTGGCTTAAATGTCTGACAATCAGAAAGCCGCTGCACATCTGAGCCAACTGTATGGTCAACAGATAAGCGGCCCTGCATGTTATGGATGACCAACCCTTTATTTCTAGAAACATCAAGATAGCTTCTCATTTCCAGCTGGTCAGAAACCCTGGGGCCTTGAAGAGATATTCCTATTCTCTGTTCTGAATTAGAGGGCGTCTTCCCAATGAGTGCCTCGGCAGAGTAGCTGGAAACTCTATTTCTTTCCTGCCTGTGAGGGGTGCATGTCATATCTGATGGCCTGGTTACGATACTTGCCTGGGACACCATTTGCTGCTCTAAGCCCCTTGAGGTCAGAAGCCTCTGTATCTGATTGTGCCCTGACACATGTTCAGAAGCTGAACCTTGCTGCCTGCTGCTAACGTCTTGCTGCTGTTGATGCATAATATCCTGATTTATATGGCTCTGGGGGTGGTTATGGTGGTTTCTGCTTGTTGCAGGATTTTCACAGTTCTTCTCAGGCTGGGAAGCTCCAAAGTGCTGCTGCATCTGCTGCTGCATCTGCTGGTGGTGAGGATGAGGCTGACCACCTTTCTGCCGTGTTTGATCGCTTCCATGGTGTTTTTGCTGTAGAGAAAGTTGTGTGGCTTGTGTTCCCTGGATGAGGTTTCGTTTCTTTTGCATCTGCACCTCCTGCTGTATTGTTCGCTGCTGGTGTACACCGTGGGGTTGAGAGTGGACTGAGTTTTCCCCATGCGTGACATGGTGCTGCAGCTGATACAAGTGGTGCCTTTCTCTTAACTGACCGGCCTGCTGTTGCTTTAAGTATGGATGATTACTGTGGAGGTGAGATATGCCCTGAGCAGGAACATGTTGAATTGGCTGCAGGTGCTGCCCTGCCTGGCCTTGCTGCTCTGAAATTGATGGCTGAGAACCACACTGAACTTCAGTTTGTCTCAAAGCTGGTGTGACAAAGTTGCTGTTTGGCGGGAATAACCTGTTAAGGCCATCTGTGTGCCCTTGATTGCTCACCGATGCCACTGAATTGGATGAATTAGGAGGAATCTGACTGACAAGCATCTGTGTTTGATCAGCAATGCTCTCTGGTGTGCGGTTCATCAATGCCATCCCTTCAAGCCTTATGGGCGTTGTCTGGCACTGCTTTTGCCTCTTTGCCGTAGAAAGCAGAAGGTCATCTTGAACAGCCCGCTTGGCCGAGTCCTTGCGACCTTCATGATTTTGCTGCTTTAAGTGTGATTCCTGTAGCTGGGGTGCCTGCATGGTGCTTGCCCTAATAGCATTCAGCTGCTCCTGGGCATATTCATTCATCATAGCAGGTCCTGGAGACTGATTGACATAGGTGCTGGATGGAAGGGAGAGGCTCACAGTTGCAGGGACGCTTGCTGGCTCTGAAGACTGCGATAAACTTGAGCAGCTCACAAGGGGATGGACAATGCGACTCTGGTGTATTAGATTATTCACGCTTAGACTGGTTATGCTTGGTGACTGGGAAGCAGGAATCTGCAAAGAAGCGTTTGATGTTTCCACACCTCCTACAGAGCAGCTTGGCTTTTCAACCTGTCTATCGACATTTGTCTGTACTGTATCTTGAGCACTGAATTTGTTTGGTGCCACTTCCAGTGGCCCTGCATTGTTTTCTTTCACTGGTTGAGGTTTAAAAGGCTGTTGCTCTCTCTCCAAAGGTGCAACCTCAGCTGATTTAGAGATGCCGTCCCTCACATTAACCTGTATTCCTCCTCCTCCTCCACCTTTCTCCAGGTTTTCCTGGTCAAAAATAGCTCTTGCTGCAAGAGCTACAATGTCAGTCTGCTCTGAAAACGTGCAGCTGTTACACGTACTGGTTGAGGTGCTGCTAGTAACGTCTTCTCTGGTGGTATCTGGCAGCATAGATGCAACTGAGAAGCCTCGACTGCTGCCAGAGCTAGTTGACATTGGGGAGTCTGCCTGCCTGCTAGCGATAAGGGAAGCACCGACTACTTCCTGATCAGAAATGCAGGAGTGATGCTGGGAGAGAGCATCACCTTCCGTGTTCATTAGCAAGAGTTCCTGCTTCTCAGGCAAATCAACATTTGATTCTGCCAATTTAGAGTTTTCCATGGGAAAATTAGGATGCTCCCCCTGAATGGTGAATGAAGATGTTTTTTCCACAGCTGTTCTTTCTTTTGTGAGATCAGACAGCATTTTGGTTAGACCCTGCCCTTCTAACAAGTCTGCATCTTGCATTACCGCAGAGGAATCCTGCACAACATTGCAGGAAAAATGCTGATGTCCCAGCAACCTGAGAATGTGTCACATGTGCTTCGGTACGAGAGGATGCTAAGGTGCTGGGGGGCTCACAGGGTGTGGGAGACTCTGGCAAGGCAGAGCTGGTTGGTGGAGGGTTCTGAGACCCACGGGCCTGCTGGCCAGGAGCAGCATCTTTGGCAGTCGGTGGGACAAGCGCTAGCTGCTCTGACACCGTGGAGGCCAGCGGCGAGGAAGCGGGCACCTCTGCCGAGCTTGGCTCGGGGACGGAGCAGGTTTTCGTTGCCTGTTCAGAGCTCGCAGACTCTTTGGAATGACAGTCAGAAACGCTGACGCCACTCGGTGCTGCCACACCGCTCGCCTGCGATGTCATTAAAGCTTGCGATGCTGCTGGAGCGTTTTCAAGCAGCCCCTCACCGTTTGAATGCTTTGCCACCGTTTCCACAGGAGCACAGTCCACCTTCCCTGCATCTTTGCAAGGAACTGCAGGACAGGATACTTTACTGTTGACTGCTTGGTGCTTCTTTGTACTTGGTTTTTTATTTGTCCTTTTTGGTTTTGCATTGGATGGCAAGCCAGCAGCCGCTTTTTTGGGGGAAGCATTAATTGAATTAGACACGCTAGTTAATACCGAAACCTCTGCAGGTACTGAAGATGCCACAGAAGTTGGTAAAGACACACAGTTAACTGTGGCAATCTGGTTACTGACAGTTGTGGGATTGGTAGGGTGGCTGAGAGACAAGTGTAAGCAGCTCTGCCCAGCCATTTGCGATATACTTTGATTGAGGTTAGCTAAAGCACCAAATGTATTGAGGGCAACGTTGGTATTTGGATCTTCGCTGGTGGTGGGTTGAATAATTTGCATAGGGGCTTGATTTGAAGCTCCAGATGAGGACATCACAGGCTGCAATGCAAAAAGCTGCCCGTTTAATGAGATAGTCTGAGGATGCTGTTGATTTGACATTGTAACAGAAAACGTTTGTGTAGAGCTAGAAGATGGCAAAGAAGATGGTCTTGGTAATATATGGACAAGGTGTTTCCCTCCAAAAGTCTGTGGAAGAGGGGCATTTTGTATGGAGTTGCTAGAGTTTGCAACTGCAGTCGGCCCATTCACAGGAACTCTCACAGAAGCAGAAGGCTGAGCGGAGAGGAGGGGAAGAGGATTCTGATTAGCAGCTTGTATAATTACAATTTGCTGACTAACATTTTGGCTGGGAACTTCTGCCCTCACAATTGGAGGGCACGGAGCGGGGTTCGGAGGCTGGAGAATGATGACATTCTGGTTAGCTGGTGCTCCTGTAACAGCGGATGCGACTGGCTGAGCCATCTGTATCACCTGCATAGCTGAATTTAATGGAAGGATATTTCCTGCAGCTTGAGTTTTAACCTGTGGCTGGCTGATTAACGGCTGCATAGGTAAGGGTGGGCACGAGGGCAAGGTAACCACGATGTGTTCAGCTGCCTGGCCATCTGCAGGCAGAGAAGTATTCAGACTGATACTTGTAGTCAAAGGCCTGCTGTGAGCAGAAGGTACAGTACCAGCACCATTAACCGGCTCGTTTAATAGTGTGGTCATTATACCGGATGGCGTTTGGCTAAGTGGCTGAACGGTATTTCCTGCTAGCTGCAGAGTTGTCCACGTGGTCTGTGTGTTTCCAGCTGAAGGCATCCGCGTAAGGCTACTCATGTTTTTCAAGTCTGAAGTGCCAACACCTGAAGAGCCTGAAAAAGACCAGCAGTTCTCTAGGGGACTGGCAGGCAGAGTGCTTATTGCTGTCACAGCCTTAGCTCCTTCTGCTGCAGAAGTCACGGGCATTCCAGCACTACTTACTAAGTCTGTACTTTTGAGGACATTTACAGAGGAAGAACTATCTGCAGCAGGTGGTCTCATAGATGGCACACAAGCTGTGTCTGTGGTTGAAATGACACAGCTGTCCGGAAGGTTGCTCCTAGAATTGTGTGTATTTGAGCAAGTTGTATTCACCTGTTGAACTTGGGAGGCTTCTGTGGAGGCACTGGAAGGAAGGCTGATTCCCTGTGGGAGTGTTTTCTTTGTTAATTTAGTGCCCTCCTCATCATTTTTACTTTTGGGGAGATTTTGATCATTTTGTGGTGCATTACTTGAAGAACACTGTAGTTCCTGTCCTGTTGCAGATTGAGACGCACTCTGTGAGCTGGCAGTAGCAGCAGCGAGCACGCCTTGCATGTTCTCTGGGGTGGAAAGCTCAAGAACGCTCCCTGCTGGAGCTGTCTGAGCAGATGGCAGTGGAGAAACTGTAGTTTGTGACCATGGCTTGTTTTCTGTGGGGTAAATACCAGAAATCGTCACAGGAGTCACTAGGTTGCAAGTTCTCTGGACTGGCACAACATTGGCTGTTTGCTTTTGTAAATTATGACCAACATTAAACGTTATTCCCTGGACAGATGCTCCCTGGTTATTTCCACTGGGTTGACTCCCATTTGAATAGACAATTATGTTCTTTTGAACCTGATCACTGGGAATAACAACAGACACCTTCGCGTTTTTCAGATTTCCCTTCCAGTGGATTGTAGGGTCATCATACAGGCAAATATCATTTGCTTTCAGTAGTTCGATGTATCTCCCGTTTTCCTTTTGCAGTTCATCCAACTGTTTACGGAGTTTTTTTATCTCTTCAGCTACAAAACAGTGAGAACACTCCATTACATCAGCACCATAGCAAATACTAGGTAATGTTACCACATGTCTTCGAGAGTAAATACTATGCACTACTGAAATAAATTGTTAATAATGTATGCTCTCTTCAAATGGTTAACATAATATAACTGAAGTCTCTTAACCCGATAAGCCTCTCTACTGAGCAGGAAAGTGAATCAACCTCACAGACTATTCTGTTACCAACAACAAGACATGTCAAATTATTTAGTTAGAATAAACATCAGGATGAGCTCATATGAAACTGAACACTAATCAAATTGTTTAATTACTGAAGGATATACGAGCACATTAATTTACCTTTCTCTTTTCCCTGCTCCTTTGCAAACACTAGAACCATTTTTATGTAATTGATAATCTCATGGCTCTCCAGGACTATTAAGTTTCAATACATCTAAAAATGATGTGCAAAATTAAATACAAAACACTTACATAAAGCCACAAAAACCAGCAATGCACTTGGAGATGGCTCACCTAACTAGGAAAATCACCTAGGTTTTCCAAACCCAATTACACTAACAAGATAAAAATAACCTGTTTAGAATTGCATTCTATGGGGAGAAATAAAAATCATGAACCAAACATTAGCTCTGAGATTATTTCTGCCACACCTCCATCACTGTATTTTTTACACATCTTTTCAAGATTTTTTATGAAGCATTATATTTTTAAAAATAGGCTGTTATCACTTTTACAGCATTTGAAAGGAAAAAAAAAATAGCTCTATGCATGAAGTAAACTCCATGTTTTCAATGAAAAGAATCTAACCCTGAAGTTTGTCAGAAATAATTCTGGTCACTACAGTAGACTAAATCAGGACAGAATCTACTAGATGGTGTTGCGTCAGCTCTGTAATTACTTTACATCACAGCATGATTGCTTCATTGTCTCATGGCTATGAGCAAGAACACTCTTGGCTTCTTGTCTCAAGATATTCTAAGCAGCTGTATTTTTCCTGTAGGTGCCCAATGTCTTGGGATTCCCAAGTTTGTTGGTCCAGGATTTGTTGTTCATATGAACACAGTGGAAATGAGTGACATAAATTCTAGGGCCTCCAGCAGCATCTGTACTCACCCTGTTCATTGTTCCCTCCATTTAACAGAAGTTCATCATTCTGTCTTTTCATTTCTGTTATGTACTTAAAGGCCTGATCCAGGATCATGTTCTTGCTCTTTAAAAGAAAACACATATATAAAATTAGGAGAAAGATCCATTAATGATGAGATTGCACTTGCTCCAATAGTCTTCACTCTCAAAATGTGCTAACCCAAATGATTCTCTGAATATCGTTGAGGGGTTTTTTTATGGGTTGTTTTTGTTTGGTTGGGTCAGGTGTTTTTTTTTTTTTTAGTTGAACTACAGGTTTCATGAGTGATATTAACCCTAAAATACCAATGAGTTTTTACAGAGTAACGTGCTGGAGCTGGCGTTTTCTGATGCCTGAAGCTAGATGCTAGGGCTGCAGAAACAAACAGCAAGCATCATTGCTTGGTGAGCAGCCCGATATTCTTGTTCACTAGTAAACATATACATCATGTGAAATTTCCAGGATACTGCCTCATAAATATTTTATTAGGAAAGAAACAAATGTGGAACAATTATCCAGGGAGGTGTATGCATAATTTTGAAACCAATATACTGTAGAATATGGAAAGAGAAAGTCTGCCGTAGCTCCCCCACCACCTTCCTTTTACAAAACTGTGCTTATTCTATCTGTGAAACCCCTTGTTCAATTCTTAATTTCTTCTTCTACTATTCTATAGGAACAGCCTCTGCTGTAGATGGCTCTATCTTGAAAAGGATGCTTCTGTGCATCAACCTCAAACCATTTGTCTTGCTTCATCTTTCACAAGGACACTGTCTTAAGTTATTTCACTTTCTGAATTGCTTTCATCCCATTGTACAAAAGACGAGAAAAATAAGCATGCATGCAATTCTATTTACATCTTAGGACATTAAGCAATCGCCAGCAAAAGGCAGAGAAGGGATTGGAGAATGACCTGAAAAATGGCCTTGCTTAACCCATAGCTTTCACCACTTGACCGTCATACAGACTACCTTAAACAGCATCAGCAGAAAATGACTTGACAAACAGGAGCTGAACAATGTAAGCAGCAACCCACTGGCCAGATCCAACCTCCTTCTGTCCAGCCTGCTAACCCTCCTACAGAGAAAAGGGCGAAGAGCTTTCCATCCGCTCAATGCACAGGGCAGGCAGCAGCCAAGGTGGGGTTTTTACCTTCTGTTGTTACCAATGCTCAGGCACCCTGAATGAGAACTTTGGGAAGCTGTGAATCAAACGCACAGGCAGACATGGGCAAATTAGCCGAGCCTACACCTCCTCAAAAATACCGCACGTATGAATTACAGAATCACAGAATGGCAAGGGTTGGAAGGGACCTTGGGAGATCATCTAGTCCAACCCCCCTGCTAAAGCAGGTTCTCCTAGAGCATGTTACACAGGACATCGTCCAGGCGGGTTTTGAATATCTCCAGAGAAGGAGACTCCACAACCCCCCTGGGCAGCCTGTTCCAGTGCTCTGTCACCCTCAAAGTAAAGAAGTTCTTCTGCATATTCAACTGAAACCTCCTATGCTTCAGTTTGTGCCCATTGCCCCTTGTCCTGTCGCTGGGCACCACTGAGAAGAGTCTGGCTCCATTCTTGTCACATCCACCCTTAAGACAGAAAATCAGTCACATGTCCAACTTGTACCGCTTCATTCCTCCAGCAGTCATATGCAAGACCTTCATATAAAAAGCTCAAAGTCTGTGTAGTTACATTCACGTGGCCCCTCACTCCCAAAAGGGGATTCTATTACAAATAATTTTTAGATACTAATAACCAGTAAGATTTTTGAGCACCTTAATTCAGTTTTGCCTTCTTCCTAAGCAGAATAGCAAAACAAGTATTTATGTTTCTGCAGACAAGGAAACACACAAGCATTTTACAGGAAACTTGTACGTACCTCTGAACAGGCACTCACCTGCTTAAGTGCTGGAGAGCAGGGAATGAGCTCTCCAATTCTGTTTATCCCAGCATTAATCTTCTTCTTTCGATGTCTCTCCACTAAGCAAAAATAATATGTTCTGTGTCATCTGGTTGGGGAAGTCAGCACAACAGCAGCACAACTAGTACCAATGTAAGAGCTCATAAATACAATATTTCATGACATACTGGAACCCTTAGTAACTTAAGAGAGGAAAAAAAATCCTCTAAAGTAAATTTAATTATTGAATTAGTACTCAGCGGAACTGAGAGCTGTAACATAAGCAACAGTATCTCTAAGAGGTGGGGATGTTCTGGACCGCTTTGTGGAAAAGAAGACTTATTGCAACTCAAAATTCAGGTTTTGGTAATGCTTTCTAGCTGCAGAAAGCAAATGAACCAAGATTACGAATCAGTTTCAGATTTGGGAAGGGAATCCATGTCTCTTAAATACTAATGTCCAGTTTAGCACCAAAAGAGAAATAATTTAGAATTTACCCTATCTTAATCTTAACCCTTTCAATCTTAATTTTAAATTTATATTGATGGAGCAGTCAACACTGAATATAGCTGAAGCTCTAGGTATATAGACAATCAGTTACTCTTACGTTCACAGGTGCAACTGTTCCGCAAGGTCTAATTATGACTGGGAGTAAAGAAAATATTGAGTGAACAGTATTTCCAGTAAACTACCTATTTTGGAGCAGGTCACAAAATGCTTCATTTATAGTCCTCTAGTGACATTGTTTACCTCTTCACAAGGCCTAAACACTGGTGCAAAGGGTCTACACTACAAGTCTAGCAGTGTAAATACCTTTGGGGCTGGTTTTTTCGATAGTATTAGTCTCTGTTTCCCACCCTCAATAGTCAGCTGCTTTCAAATATAGTTCCTCTCATGTAGCTATTTTTTTTGACTGAAATATTTTGGTGTTCTACACAAATGAAAATTATTGGATGCCTTTTTCCCAAAGAGCCTGAAAAAAAGTTCTGTCATGGCTCTGTCAAGATTCAAATCAACAGATCGTTTGTTCATTGTGCTGAGTACTGCCCTGTGGTTTGCACAGCTGGGCTGCTTTTGGTGGCACACAGAAACACAAAGTGATCCTCAGGTGAGTATATTTTGCTGTGCTCCTTTACAAAGGAGGTACTGATTTAATTTAAACAGTTTTATTTCAGTAGTTGGTCACTTGAATTTACATTTCTCGAACTACTAGATTAGTTTTTGTATTTCAGGAGACAGAGACAGGCCTAAGTAGCCTAAGCATGGCAAGACTTCTGCAAGAAATTTACCATATAAATCAGAGCAGCTGCATAAACAATAAAACATGTGATCCTTGGGACTTAATTTTTATGTATCTTACTAACACATACAGCTATCACAGTGGTTGTGAAGTGATATTCCTTTGTTTTGACAATATTTTCCATGCTCTACTCAGCTTGTCCAGACTAAGCAAGCTAAAGGCTTGGAGGGAGCTGGTCCCCCACATCTTGCAGAGTTCAGCCCAGTAGATGAAGACTTTGGAAAGCTATTGGCAAGTAAAACAGGAACTGAGAATTAGAACGAGGCCCGCAATCGTAAAAGTAAACTTGGTAAGACTATTTCCTCATGCTTCTTAATCCTTAAGAAATTGGCCACACCCTGGGCACAGGGTGACAAGCACGATATTCCACAGCCTTCACGTGGAAACTACTCAATGGTTTTTCCAGTTGAGTTTGTGAAGATCACACAGTAGTGCTGTTTAATAAAAGAACAACTGGAATCAATTTCTTAGGATAAACCAGGCCAAAACCTGCCAGGCCTTTTCCCGGTCCATCTTTCTGCTGCTAATTGCAGAAGATGCCACTAGACACTGACAGGAAGAAAAGGCCGCACGCTGCCTGAGGGATGCGACTCCTGCAACATACAGATGGTATTCACACAGAATTTCTGGGATGCCAACATCCAGGTGCTGGCAATCTCAGGGACAGGCTACAGGAATATTTCTATTCCAGGGAACCTCTAAAGCTCTTGGGTTGGATATCCATCTCTAAATTGCTTAAGCGTTTACCTCTTTATTTTAAGAGAGGTGGGTATTATTTGTGTGTGAATGACTGTGCATTTATTTTCCTTTACACTTGAACACAACTGAAATCGTTTACTTCTTAGTTTACTAGCATTGGAAAGCCAGGGGCATGGTCCTGCTTTCACACTTGGGCATGCTGCTGTAACCTTGTACTGTGGAAAACAGCAAACCAGAAACCAATCAAGAAGCCCATCTGCACTCATATTCTATGCAAGGACACAGAAAAGTGTTCAGTAGGTGGGGGGTTTTTTGGTGTAATAAAGTCCTACGGAAGAACCCTCTCCATGCAAAACATGTTTTACTAGTTCACAGCATCTGTGCTTATTTCCAGACCAAACACCAAAGCATAATGTTCCTACCTGCATTATGTGTCTCCCGGTTTTTCTTTCTGTGAAATATAAAGGGAAAACAGTTATGTGAAACAGAAGGGAAAAAATCTGCATACAAATGTTTCTTTTATTATTTCCATTACAGCTAAAAATACTAAATATTATATTCTGCTCTGTGAACAAGAACACAGTAGAAGTCACATTCACAAGGACCGTTTTTAGACATTAGTATTAAATAGTTTCTAACAAAAATCCATTTGTGTTCGTACTTCAATACATTTCAGCATAACAAAGCATAGTGTAATATCCCATTTGATTATTATTACCTATATTTATAGGACAGAGCTGGATTTTTATGTTTTTGTTCAGCAACAATTACCCAGTAGCAACAAGTATCCAGGGTTCAATAAGGCCAAATATTAAAAAAATAGAACTAATTTCTGAGCAACAGCATAGTTAATTATTTGTTTGAAATGCTGCTTTTATGTTCACTGGATCAATGAAACAGGAAAAAATGTCACCACACAAATTGATTTTTCCAGACGTGTTACCCTCAAACATCATACCTCCCTGTATACACATGCTGCCTTTGTGTGAGAAACCAGAATTACCATTCCTCTGCAGCTGTTCTTCTTTACTGCCTCAAAATTCTGTCCAGGTATGATTTCAGCATGTGAGGGCTGTCTGGTTTTAGATTTCCACCTGGAATTTCTGGACCGATGGCAATCAGGTCAGAATCATTGTGCAATGCCTCAAATTGCTTTGCTGGAAGTCAATAAATCCCAAATGTGTACTCTACATATGTAAATCAGATGCACATTACATGTGCAGTAAACCAAATACTTTCAAGGAAGTATAGTAAAGCAAAGCACGTGTTTTCTGGAAAAATAAATATTCCAGAAAAAAAAAAGTTTCAGAAGATTTCTGCCCAGCAGCGCATTCTCAGTCTAGATGTTTGGCTGGAGTATGCAAAAAGCAGAGAAGCATCTTCTGCTCTCCTTTTCCACTGCTACAGCACAGTCCAGATATAACAAGGAATCTGAAGTGAGAATGCAAGATACACGTGGGTGACACGTGTGATTATGATGGGGCACATATACTTTATGCTTTGAGTTGATATACGTTTATTTCTGGTAACTCACCGAAAGTAGTGTGCATCTAGAGAAACTTGGACAATGATTACAAGACAGTAATATTTCTGCAGATGGCGACACCTGGAGACATTTGCTAAGAAATAATGCCTAAAGATGAACATCTTCAAGTCAAATAAATGTCAACTGAAGCCTGCATATCTTCTACAACCATTCAAGAAGTGATGAATCCTCTGTTCATTGAAAACTTGCACCACCAGAACAGGAATCCATGTAAAGTATAATTCAAAATGTTTTCTTGTTTTACAGTAAACTACAGTTCTCCCACTTATAACCAAAACAACCATATGCCAGTCAGAATTGATCATATATCCTAAATATGCACAGGAATGTAAGGGCTGGAGAGACCCAGCTGCCCTTTGATTCCCATTACTAGTACAGAGTCCAAACTACTCTATTAGTGGGGTAAGAAGTAGTCACAAAATCCATGAAGACCAAAAAGAATTCTGTAGGACAAATCAATGTTCTTTGTGAGCTTTTCTTACAACAAATCATATCCTACATGGCCACCTAACATAAGATGAATGCTGTATTTAACTAGGGACTGAAGGATTCCCCTACCAATCAGGTATTAGATCAACATGCTACTGCAAAGGAGCAAAAAACTGGAAAAGTTGTAATGAACTACAAGAGACTTCTGTTACAAATGTTGGTCCTAGTGTTGCCGTTCAACTTCAAGATGTATTTTGAGTTCCAGCAGAGATTTGAGATGCAAGATCCAGATTTCACTGGGAGTGGAGGAAGAGATCTAAATTACTCTGTCAAAGTTTATACACAGTTTATACACAGTTTTATATACATCAGAGTAGTCAGTGTAATAATCAAAGAATCTCCATTGCCTAGGTGGCCCAGGCAGACATGTCTTTGACAAATAATTCAGCATGGACAGGGGAAGAGAGAGAGTTTTGCAGCCATAGTTCCCAAACTTTTGGATCAGCCCTGGTCAACCCTCAGAACTTCCTGTCAATACTCTTACTGCCAAACTTTTAGCTAGAAACTTTGTAACTGCAACATGATCACAGACTACAGAACTACAAAATAGTTATTTTCCCACAGAAACTCACCGATGTTGCTTCTTAGTAGGTGTTTCATTCTCTGTCATCTCTGGCATGGTTTCGGAGAAGAGAGCCTGAGGAAAATTGTAGAAGGAATTAACAACTCCTGCACTGTTCTGAATTCTTAGCACACGACATTTGTTACATCATTTTGCCTTTGACCAGAAGGACAGGGCCATACTACAATGTACGCACAAGTCCATCACCTTGATGTAGAGCAGCCAGTCATGTGAGCATTAAAAATGAAGTATGTTACCTATCAGAGTGCTTTCTGAATCCCCGCTGTCTATGATGAACTCATTTCTGTTTCCTCAATTACTTTAAATATAAAAACAATTCTAATCCCAACTACTTTAAGGAAGCAAGAAGGAAAATTAGAGTGTATGGTGGTTTTCTGAATGGGAGGAGGTACAGCTGAACTCTCTTTCACCAGCCCTTCCTAACTGAATATGCATTCAATTCCCAGTTCTAAATAAAGAATGAATGCTAAGCAAAATACAAGCTACAGTGAAGGCATTTTATTAAATACAATTTTAGAGTGCTATTAATGTAGCAAATTACAAAACTTACTTGCTATTGAATTAATGTAGAGCTTAAAATGGCCAAAAATGAAACCCTATGTTCTCAGATACATAAAATTCAGTTAAAAATTATGAAATAAAGTTATACATAAGAGCCTAATAAATTGTACCTAATTTGTCCTCAGCCTGAACACATCAGTAGCCTGCATTTAGACAAACAAAAAAAATTATGCAAAAAAACCCCAAAAGATAAGATTAAGTCAATGATGGTCAAACACATATCTACCAGGGAATGAATTTTAGAGAGCAAGTAACATAAAGTATACTGTAGATGACAACAAGAAAAAAATAAAAATCTCGTTTTTTATAAGGCTGAGCTCTGTATTTAGTTTCATGCTTCCGCTTGTTCTCTCACCAACCAACCTGTTATTGCAAATCTTCCCACGGGCCCACAGACTCCTCGTGGCTTCACCTCTCCCTGGCTCCTCCTGGAAAGCTCATCGGCTTCTTTTAACAGGCTTCGTATCTTTGGGGTATTTGTTTGTTTGTTTGTTTGTACTGTAAGGAAGTGGGGGTGGGTTTTAATATAACTTTCAACACCAAAGCAGTTCTTAATGTAAATTCAGCCTACCATTACTGACACTGACATCAAAACCAACCAAACAAAAAATCCTTAGGAACCAGAAAGCCAGCCACCTATAGAGCTCCCAAAGCACTGAAACATACACACTTTGGAAAGGGCTCTGTGCACACACTGTGTATGTGTGTGTAAAGTTAACAGAAATAATCTGAACAGAACTCGGGTGCTGTTCTCCAGTCTTTATATGCTAAAAGGTTAATTGAATGTAGTGCTCTCATTCAGTAAAGATTAACTGAGGAGAAACAGCTGATGCCGTTTACCACTCTACCCCTTCTTTAAGTTCTTTCTGTATTCCTCTGAAGACACAGGAAATGTCAGCAAACCACAAAGTAAAGCAAACAGGCAATATCCTGCGAATAGATCCAGCCTGGGGAACTCAAAGTGCCTGAAGTTTTCAGGAACCTAATTCAACTCCTCCACCTATACAACAGCGTTCACACCATCATAAAATTAGACAGAATCCTCTCTGAGAAGAGTTACAGCATTACACTACTCCACTGGGCGTTACATACAGCCTACCTGAAACACAGTCGCCAGAGACTTCCCTAGCCCACCAATGGGAGCACATCATTTTATATTTCTCCACAGGCTTTGCTTTCTCCATTCTCACTGACCATGCTCTGCATAAATTATGAAAAAACCGACAGAGTTAACAGAGTCTTTTACCGTGAGGGAAAGTAGTGGTGCAACTTCAGCACTTTCATTCACTCTCTCATAAATTACCTTGTGTTACTTCACCTTAAAAACAGTTTTCGTCTCCTTTAAATCCATTTAGCTTAATTCACTGACAATTTTATCTTTGTTTATATGTAGTAAGACTAGTCCAGTTGGTACCTCAGGTCCTCCAAGTTAGTGAAAATCTACAACTCTGAAAGCCAGGAAAGCCAGGAAAGCCAGTTTCCCACCCAAGGCATCTATAACTTGTATCCCTGCTGTGGATAGCTGGTGATGGTCAGTAGTACTTACTCACTTATTCTAGCTGCACTCATTGTATCAGGTGATGATGAAGGGGTTAGCTGGGAGAGTTTAGCAGGTGTGCGATTCTGATTATAAAAAAACAAACAAAAAAAAAGTAAATCTGGTTAGACCCCAGCCATCTCTTACACTACTGGCAACCAGAGAGATGTTCATACATACACCGAGAGACTGAGGTCAGCACACCTCATTTTAATGGGTTTTTTTTCAGTTATGTCAAATCAGCGCAGCAGAATCTGTATCCATTAAGGCTACCAGCAAAGACATGAGAAGCAGAGCAGCTAGCCGGTAACACTATGCTCTCATATATCCATCACTAAGACAATACCTTGTATATCAGGTAAAACAGCTATTCAAGGGGGCAAAGGGGTTGTTTAATTTAGCGTATACAGTACTCTTTCTGTTTGGTGAGGTAAGGATGTGAGCACGGAGTATGTGAACATAGTTCTGGTACAGCAAAGCTCACAAACATGCTTAGAAAAAGAAAGATGCTGGATTGCATCATGTGGCAGTCACGTACCCTGTTTCTTGACTTTTCTGCGCCCTCTCTAAGAACAGAGTTGATGTATCTGTTATTGGGCACTACTAGACCATAGCAAGTATGCTGGAAATCAGAGCAAAAAGATGAAAGAGGTCTTAGTTTTGGCGAACTTAGCATTTTTGGAAGACTACTGTATTAACCAAGCAACCATATTTTTTTAATCTTTCAGATTTATACAACTTCAGAAGCAAAGGAGTATTTCTGTATTACAGTGTATTTAATATAGAAAGCATTAATGTGAATTTAGATGGCCAGCTACCGTGCAAGGCTACAGATAAAGCACCACTGTGTGAAGGAAAAGGGTGCAAAAAAGCACACCCCCCCAAATACCCTCCCCCAGAACAGAGACAGCTGTTCTGATTCCACCTGCTTCTCCCCGCATACAGGCCAGATCACATCCACAACCCCACCTTCCCCCTGCCCCGAGTCAGAGCACCCGCTTCTCCCTCCTGATACAGGCTCTCCATGCTCCTACATTCAAGCTGCTTCTACCCAGGGTCTGTGTCCCCTCAGCAAAATTCTTATTCCTAACAGCAGCATCCCTATTTCCCAAAGTTGTGACCTATGCAATTTTCCAATTGCCTTACTTCTTCCTCCTGAGACGATGACTTAAATGATAAATCTAATGATATATCTACATTGCATATAGTATTTGGGAAGATAGGCAAGGCCTTAGCGGAAGTTTGCACTGGAACTTATTAATATAGGTTCTAACCATTTCTTGATCATGAGAAAATTGATATTATGTGTCAGACTCCCCATTTCTTTCTTCCTCCCCTGCCTTTTTTTTTTTTAAATTATGTCAGTAAGCTTCTTCCAAGTGATGCAGTTCCCTGCACATTTCAAGCCAGATGCTACCACATTGAGCGTATAAGCCTCACAAATGTAAACAACTAAGTTTGTATTTGATATGCTTCAGCTCTACTGGAATCTACAGCCCATTTCATATAAGACAGGGCAAAGAAATGCAATGAATATTATTCTAACTTCACTTCATGGTGGAATTACTTTAAGTCAAGTTTATCAAAGTTTACCATTCAACCAATGTTCCCCCTAAAGTTTCAAAGCAGTTGTGGGACCAATAAAAAAAACAAGGCTGTACACATTATCTAATTAACCAGTTAGTTTAATTCAAGTTCTGATTTTCTAACTGAAAAGAGGTGCTTAAGTTTGTTAAATAGCACTTGTATACAAGTCTGGGGTTTCTACTGATAGATTGTAATGTAAGAAACATGGAGAACTGAGGTTGGTTTTTTCCTGTTCTAATTCTGTAAGGACAAAAAGCTTTGCATTTTACTTGATACACCTCAAAACAGTCAAGAGCTGGCAACACCAGGGAGGTGATACTCTTAAGAGCTGCTGAAAATGTGGGCTCTGAGAATTAAAAATAAAAACCAAAAAAACCAACAAAACAAAACAAAACCTGCCTAGGTGGAGACTTCTGAGGGCTGATGAATAATGTTTATACTGTCTCCATTTCTTCATTGCAGCTGTTGTATCACCAGAGCTTTGACAATGGATTTCTCTTTACTTCTTCCATGCCAAGTAATACCTCTTCATGGAGAGGTTCCTTCACCGATTCTCTAAAGCAGAAGACGTATTTGCTTTATAAGCTCAGGGGCAAATGTATTTTACAGATTTATTCATTAAAAACGCTCACCTAACTCAGCTGAATGTCTTCTGCAGAGAGAACATAGCAAATTCCAAATTCTTCAGCCAGATGAACAAGAAGCAGTTCAACATTTATATTCATTTAGTATCAAGGTTCCCTCAAGCTTTATGTGGTTTATAGCTCTTACAATGTCAACCTGAAATACTGATTTTAATTTAAATGCAACGTCATCTCCAGAAATGAATAGATATTTTGTGTTCTGGAGATTTAAGTTGAACGTAAGTTTAATCTCCTCTGTAGCTCTGAAAAAGTAGGGTACATGACTCAAAACCAATTGTTTTGAAGTGTCTTCTTTTCTACCACTTCATCTTTGCAGGTTATTTTATCAAATCATATGCACTCAGCAGATTTAACTTTTTAAGAAAAAGGTAGTTTAGATTATTTTATTTGACATGAAGTTTTCATTCTTTATTTAGGAAATGTTTCCAAATTTAATATTAATTTTAAAAAGAAAGCAATTATTCCAATCTGTTATCTTTGCCTGTACAAAACAATCTTCCTCAAATTAGTAAAGCTATTCCATTCCGCTGTATGAGGCAGAAAGAATCTTTTTAATATGCAGCTACACATACTCTGTAACACTACTATCAGTCCAAATCTTTCTTGCTCTTCAAATACTTCAGCAAGTTTATGCCGCTACCTTGCTACAATCTCACAGTTCTTACTAGTTTTGTACACCTCGTGTAGTTAGCCATGATTTACGGCATAGACAGTAACTACACAAATGCTACTTTTTTTCCTTGCAAGACAGCGTCCTCATCATTCAAGTGACTGCTGGAGCTCTCTTTTCCAGTCTTCCCTGCATGTTTTGAAACCAGGCTAGCTTCAACCAGGGACTTAATCCAGGCTTTTAATCACAAGAGAGATGAAAAGACACAATTTACTGCCCTTTCTTTATTCCCCCTTGAAACACATCTATTCTAATTTTGCATTTACCTAATAAAATGATTGCAGGAAATGAAACTCAAAAGCTTACCTTTGTGATTGTTACCTATGTATACCAACTACTTTTGCCCACAAAAGTAACTTGTTAAGACTACTGTACAGGAAATTGAAAAGGGCTGATTTTCCTGGTAAGAGTAAAAAATCTCTTTGATATCTTTCAGTTTGGTTTCTAAAGAAATCAAGGTTTTCTTGTTACTGCATTGTGCCTCTTCATCCACCCACTCACAACAACAGCTGGGTCCACTGACTGACCTAAATGAAACCTCTCAGAGATGTGAAGTTCCCAGATGTTTGCAAAAACCTGAGACCGAGCAGAGGAAGAGGAGTGAGGTCAGTGCTGACGCTGCAGGTAAGCAACTGGATACCACTCGGGTCTGTGACCAGCTCTGTAGCACGTATGCACTGGCTGACCAGCTGACATCAGACTGGTCACGACACGTACCACCTTTTCCAGAGGAAGGTGTGCAAGGGATTAAAGGGCAGGAGAGAGCTACCTCGGCTTTTCACAGAATACACATTCCCGATGCAAACCAGCTGGCAGTTTCCTAGGGGCAACCAGACTGTTCCCAGAGCTTCTGCAAAAGTTAGGAAAAGAAAACCAATGCCAATAAGCTAAAACTTGATACACAAGCCACTTTTTTTTTTTTTTTTTTAAGGTACCTGCAAATAATAACAGATGGAAAAACACTTCACTGCTTTTAGAATTTTTTTCTTTACCTCTTCTGTTTGTACTATCTAAACTCAAATACATTGTTTTTCTTCCTCCTGCTGACTTAAAGCAACAAAGGCCTTTCAGTAAGGCTATTATAGAAGAACATGCAAGAGAACTAGAAAGAGAACTAACTTTTTTTTGGAGGAAGAAACAGAGTTAACACTCAAGTGATATTCCCTCATATGTACATTAATTTTTGTTTTAATTTACCATTTTCATAATATTAAAGACATATTGCTTGTGACCATTTCCTAACAAGTTACCAATTTCACAAAGGAGGTGAGAAAGTATGAGGAATGTCTGTAAGCTGCAAGACAGTGCTCATCTCCCTGTTTTTCAATGCCCGGTGACCCACAGTACGCTTCAAAACAGAAAATTATTTTAAAATAGAAGATAGCTATCTAACTATGCTACGCTTGACAAAGGAGTCAAAAAGTCTGTTCTGATGGTGAAAGCTAAGTGGATACAAAGTGGATTGCAGACAACTTCCTCCTATAAGACGTCATCGTCTCTACTTGGGTTAGGCTGCCTGTATTAGATGACAAAGATTGCCTGTACTGCGGCTGAGGCTGAATGCGCTCCCACTCCGGTGCAAGAGCATCTGTTGGTGAGCCAAACCTTGCTGGCAGCACGTCACCTAAAGAACAAATTATTTCTTTTTCCTGAAAAAAGCTGTAATGTGTAAGTCATCATGGTCTCTGAATACTGGAACCAAGATGATTATCTATAACTGAGGAAGCCATGTGCATATGAAAGCTGTATTTCAAACACCAAAGACCGACTGGACAAATGTAGAAGCTACAGCTTCAGCAAGAGCCAGTCTAATTCTGCTTTCTGACGTGATCTTATCTCCAAATGAAATCTCTGTTCAAAGAACAGTACTTCATCACAGGGCTTGATAACCAGTTTAGAATCAAAACATAAAAACTTTCTTTTTGGCCACAATGATACAGCCAGAATACTATTCTCTGCCTCATTTTTTGGTTTTAATCTGAGCTCTTTTTTGTTCTGCAACTACAAAGGACTCTCACATAGTCTGTTTATAAAACTGCGTAAGGTCTTGAGGAGGTATCAAATGATTCTCTGATAGCTATGCCAGACACACAGACACATGCTAAACTGACTTGCTGCTGTCTCCTGAGGAACCTAACTAACAAGGAGTGCAAAATACCCTAGAACTGAAATGTGCAGGGCATCCAGAGAGTTTAGGTGTCAATTTTTTTTAATTCATCTTTAAGCACAAAGGATTACACAGTCAAGTTTCTGAATATTTTAGAAGCTTGGGGTTTGAGAAATCTGACACAAAGAACTTGTCAAGGGTTCATGATACAGGAAGCAATACTGTACGGGTTGTCACTACAAAGCTCCTTTACAACAGGCAGAACAGATCCATCCTGAGGTTTGGTTACAGACACTGACCTTTCAGAGTAAAGGATTTATCTATGAATCTTAATAGGGCTAACGGCAAAAATTGCTGAGGTAGAAGGTACCAGAAAACAGTATTATATTTTTAATGTAAAAGCTGATTAAACTT